GGAGGCGCCTCGCGGGGCCGGCCCGTTGGCGGCGCGGGCGCCGTTAGCTGTTGCGTGCGTTGGGGGGTCGGTGCCCCTGCGGGCGCTTGCGAACCTTATTCCGGTAAAGCAAACGGTGACGTGCCCGCGTCCCCTGGGTTACTGTAGGGCCTTTGCTTGAAAGGAGACGGTGGGCTATTTCTTGTGGGCTTTTGTTTGTTTTTATGATTCACTTGTGAAAATCCTGTGAGTTACAGGGTTAGGAAGCTGCCCGCAGAAAGCGGCTATGTAAGAAAACGGGTTTTTGTGGGGGAAAGGAATGGAAAAGGAAGAATTCGAGCTGACCGGGGAGGTGTCGAGGGCAGGCGCTCCCCTTTGGAGTGCCCTGCGTGTTGGTGCCCTTGAATTGCACCGAAGGGCAAGTGTTTAGAATAGCGGTATTTAGAAATTATATCGTTTGCACATGTTAACCTTACTTGCGTGTTTGAAATGACAAATGTATGCCTCTAGTTGGTTTTCTGTTAGAGCTGATACAAATTAGAGAGCAGTTTACCCAAAGAAAACAGGAAGGCGATGTTGCTGCTCCCTCATGGTTTCTGCCAGGATTCTGCCAGGAAAGGCACCGTTAGTTGGCAAAAGCAGTTGCTGAGGTGGGATTTATTAAATCAGTATGTGCTCAGTTGTCCTTTGCCATCCTTCAGGTAGCGCTAGCTATCCGGAGTCCTTCAGCCTAGTCTGCTGCCCGAGGCATCATCTGCTGCCGGCAAAGGTCTTGTCTTATCCCTGCAGTGCTTTACAGGGAGATGCGAGGGAGCCGTTTGTGTGCTCAGAACTGAAAGAGCATGGGTAAGTACAGCTGCTAGAGTACCAAAACCGAGTCGGAATATCCTGTTTTGGATTTGGCTTTGTCCTGAAGGGCTTAGGTGGAGATGGCTGGCTTGGAGCGTGAGGAGAGCCCTCTCATTTCCGCTTACAAAATACCATGCGTCTTTCCCATGAGAACGTAATTACTTCTTGAGGCTTATCTCTGTTTGATAAACAGTTGAGTAATTCACCCTAGATGTTAAATTGAGACGCTTACTTCATAATACCTTTGTTGGCAAGATATGGAAAAGTATCTGTACTCTCTCAGAGGAGAGGTGAATAGATGAATCTTCATTTTCCAATATGAGTCTTAACTATTGCCCTTCCTTTTTCTGCTTAGACTTGAATTGTTTTATTTACAATATTGCAATGGAGTGGCTAAATCCTTGAAGGTGATGACAGAGCCTTTTCATTTATTTTGGAAAGTGTCAGGTACCCTTAGGACGTTCTGCGAATAACTGATAACTTTTCTGATGGGATGTTGTATCCTGAGATCAGGGATTAAAGCTTCCATTGCTGGCACAGCATCTCTTCTGTATTGAGCCCCAGTCTTCACCCAAGAGCTCTACATAGACGGCATTTATGTCCTTTTTGGGCATTTTAAGTATTATGAGCTGAGGCAGGTTTTGACAGACTCATGTAGAGGGTTTTATTTTCTTGTTGATCTTGAATTGTTTGTTTTATCTTCACATGAGGTATCAGTGGTCTTGATGATTGGAATCTCTACTTGCAATATATTAGAAACAAGACTTGTCCATGTTTTAGGTTTATAATTCCTTTAGAGCAAAGGGTACCCAAGTAAAAAATTTGCCGTTTTCATGACTTCTTAATCTATATTTATTCTCCAGTGTCCAGAGAACGTAATGTTCCTTATGCAAGCTTTGTCATAGTCAGTAGTATCTAGAAGATTTGAACCCATCTTTTTTTTTCTAGTTATCCAGGAGCGTGTGCTCTCTTTCTCTTTTTTTTTTTTTTTGGGGGGGGAGGTGGGGTAGGGGTAGAAAATACTAAAGACTGATTCTTGAAATTATTTCACTCTTATTGTTATTAGTGTTGCATCATCCTTGGTGGAAATGCATTGAAAGCTATTTTTCAATTAGCGTTCCCTAGTGTAGCACATAACTGAAGCCCCAAAAAAAAAACAAAAAACAAACAAACAAAAAAATCCTAGAGCTCTTTGTATGTGTTTTTTTTTTAATGTAAAGGTAATAATAAGCTCATAAGAATACTTAGAAGGGGAAAAATGTATACTTTTGAAATATTTGCATGTTTTGAATTTGGGATTTGTGGCATGTGTTAGATCTTTGAGTTTAAAAAAAGACATTTCAGAAGTATGGCAGGTTGTTTGCAGAACAAAGAAAAGTGAAGCCTTGTTAGGAAGACCCTAAACATTTAAAATGAACGTGACATTGCAATAAAAGAAATAGTAGAAATGGTGATAGAGTTACAGGCAGATTCACAAAGGTGCTTCTGTGCATAATTCCTGTTGATGGCAGTTGCATATGTACCCTTATGGATCTGTCTCATACTATCTATGGTGGTTTTTCCTGCACTCTAGGAAAGCAAAGAGAGAAACCTTTTTTTTTTTATTTTTTGGAAAATGTCTGGATGCTGTGGCAGGAAGACTGTATAAGTAGATAGATTATAATTCTAGTAGCAATTAGGTTCTGGCATCTACGTGCGCAGGTTGTAAAAGAAGACTATTTGAAAAACAAAAAAATTACTTAGTCACTTGTGGTCCCTGCGGCAGGGGAACTTTTCAAATGGAGTTAAAGAAGAATAGCAGTGTGATGATCCAGCAGAAGGAAAAAAGCTACGACACATTTTAAAGGCATGGCATCAAGTTGAATGTTACCTCACCACCAGATGTGTGGCCTGCTCTCTTCCAAATAATATCTAATTGAAAAAATGGTAGAGAGAAAATATTTCCTCTTTTTCTCCTATTTTTTTTTATTTATAGTATGTTGGGAGACATCTCTGTGTTCTAGATGAGTCTGTCCTTCAAGAGTATGAAAATATCTTTGAAACACAAGAAAATTTCTTAGAAGTCACGGGCATGTGGATAGATCTGACGGTACCATGAAACAGTTTTGGAATGGACGAGGTTTTGAGTTTGTGCTGTTGCAAAATCAGACTGGACTTAAAAGCAGACAATAATTTTCTTGAAAATTCATTTTGTTCAGTTCAGCTTGCCTGGTAACGACTCATGTAGATGAAGTTACTGCTGACTTTAATAATGCAACCACTCTTTGCTCTTTCGGCAGCAAAGCAGAATATCATCTGGGATGTTATTTGAAGTGCTTTTTTTCTTTTTTCTCTCCCCTTGCGGAACACATGCTGTTTACCTGAAGGTTGTGAAGTCACTGGGGCATGTACATACTCACCCCGTCAGATGTGTTGTGTGGTGGTGCAGGCTCTTACTTTTTTTTAGTCTTGTAAAATAGGATTGCTTTACAGTGCTGAGCAAGTGGATGCGGCTGTTAGAAGTAGTAAAATTAAACAGATGCTCTTTGTAGCCCAGTGCAATAGAAGTCTTATGATTAGTACCCTTTACTAAAGGGAAGAGTTTCAGAAATGGTGTGGGTATGCCTGCAATGTCTAAGTGCATGCTAACAATATAGTGAGTGTTATATCCTCTCTTAAGAACTTGCACTTCTGGGATAAGATGTGGCATGTATTTTGTTGTGCTGTCAAGACCCGTGTTCAGTAGCTTAGGAGAGGGCTTATTTGTCGGTTTGAAGCCAAAGAAGACACATACAGGGCAAAATAGAAGGACAGAAGTTACAGTTTTGGTAGGAATAAATTTTCTTCCTTTACAAGAAGTATCATGCTGTCAGTAACCAGTAGCTAGTGAGACTTTAGTTGCTGTTGAAGTTTTTTACCAAAAGTGCCAGTGTGCCATATCATATTGGCAAGACCAGTGTTTTGCAGCTTCTCATGCTTTTTTTTAAAATTATTATTATTTTAAATTAAGTTCATCCTCCCTGGAGCACAATGTATGACTGCACATGCATTCATCTCTGTGTGATTTTAGTCTTTGGAAAGTGATAGTTCTTTCAAATGGCTCTCTCCTGTTGTGCAATTATATTTGTATATTTTAGCGCTGCACGTTTGGCTCAAGCATGCGCCATTTCTAAGAGATACTGAAAGTAATAGTGGGAGATAGTCTAGACTTTAGTTGGTTGACTGAATATACCTTGTGTGTTTTCTCCACCAAGATGGTACTATACGTTTGTGTGCAGATTATAACGTGTGCTGAATCTCAAAGGTTACTTGTTCTGTAATTAGTATGAAAAGTTGAACTGGTTGAGAAGGAGATTGTAATTGCCTGTGTCTTCCCCTTACCCCCTTCCCCGTCGTCTTCTTTTTAGGCTTGTGATTACCATGGCTGCGGTGGATCGTTTCTACCTCTTGTACAGAGAGATCGGTCGTGCCTGCAATTTTTACATCGAGGCCCTGGCTATAGTTGGAGCTTGGTATACAGCTAGAAAGTGCATCAGTTTTGCTCATAACACTTACAGTCTACTCAGGTTGCATTTCCTTCCAAAGCTGGTCGGCGAGATCGATCTTGTCAAGCGGTATGGAAGATGGGCTGTAGTCACCGGTAAGAGATTGAAAATGCAGTGTATTTGCTTGTGTTTAGATAGTAGGCATCCTCAAGGAAGAGTTAACCTGACCTCTGAAATGGGTTATTAATCGTTCTTCCATACCAATCACGCATCAAGAAGCCTCTTACCAAAATTGGGAAGTACTGTAAAACTTGCTGTCTTACATTGCTGATGAGCTTTATGCCACAAGCTGGCGTCTGTATTAACGCAGGCTGCGGCTGCCGAATGAATACAATTTAATTTGAACAACTGTCACTGCTTGAGCCCTGCCTTACTACATTCCATTTCTCAGGAGGCAAGTAAGCTCGTTGTGATGGCTCTGCTGAGGAAGAATTACAAAGCAACTTTTCCCTAAAATTGTAAGGTAGACCCCAAACACATACGAGCAAGCATGAGACTACATAAAGGAAGGTACACAGAGATGCAGCTGGGAGTGCTATGGGATTTACACAGGTGTTCAGGTTTTTGAGCAACATTTAAGTCATGCATCTCTGACATCCTCCCCTGTCATTAAGATTCTACTGTAAGCTCTCTGCTGTTGTCATAGAAAATATTAAACTCTTATGAGGTGGGGTTGCAGAAGGTTGGTGCTGTGACAGCATTGTCTTTAGTGTTGTGGTTTGGAGATCAGCGTATCCAGTGTGGTGTCACCTTCAGAGAAGGGAATAAAACTATAGTTAAAAGAGCTGTAGAAACAGAAGGCTGGGCTTGCTCTAATCTTCGCGTTGTTTTTTTCTGTTGTAGGTAGCACAGATGGTATTGGGAAAGCCTATGCTGAAGAGCTGGCAAGGCGAGGTGTCAATATCATCCTAATCAGCCGAAACAAAGAGAAGCTAGAGGCTGTATCTCGAAGCATAGCTGAAACCTATAAAGTGGAAACAGATTTCATAGTAGCTGACTTCAGCAAGGGGCGTGAGGCTTACCTACCCATTAAGGAGGCCCTGAAAGACAGAGAAATTGGAATTTTGGTGAATAATGTAGGGCTATTTCATTCCTACCCGGACTACTTTACCAACCTGTCTGAGGATGTGCTGTGGGAAATGATCAATGTAAATATCGCTTCTGCTAACATGATGGTGCATATTGTGCTGCCAGGCATGGTAGAGAAGAAAAAGGGTGCTATTGTGAATATATCTTCTGCCGTCTGCTGTCGACCTACGCCAATGTTGACAGTATACGGAGCCTCTAAAGTAAGTTGGGGTGTGACGCTTAATGGTACACGCTGAAGAGTAGAAGCTATGGGTTTGGTGGACTGGGTTTTTTTTTTTCCCTCCCCTAAAATATGTTCAGTGAGGATATGAAAATGTTTGAAACTTTTCTAGGGACTTATGCAACTGTCAGGAGTGAATGTTACATGTATTATGCAGTCAGTGTACTCCTTTTTCTCACTAACACCGGATTTTGAACCCAAGCCCGTACCATATGGATCACACATTAACTGTGGCATGACAGCAGTTTGAGGAGAAATGTCCTTTTCTTCAGGAACGATGCACAGACTCAAGTGGTGGTTCTATGACTCATTGAAAGGGTCAGGAATTTCTTATATCTCTTTCCCCACCTGAGCTGCGCAGAGATGTCTCACGCTACTTACAAATTAGTATTTGGTAGCAAGACAGTTCAGCCACCGCTGTGACAAGTGCTGCAAAAAGGCAGCTTGATCTTTGAGATTTGCAGCAGCCAAGGGGTGTTATGTGGGGCAAAAGGCTTCTGACATCATTGCCTGCGCTGTATTTGGGAAGAAGTGAAAAAGAGTTTTTTCCCCATAATTATTCTTCTTGAGACGTGTCAGTCAGTAGTGAATAGGACAGGTCACCTGGATGATGCTGGAAGTATGTATGCATGTGAGGATGCAGACTTACGATGGATGACTCGCTGCTGAATCCTCAAAAGCAACCGAGATGGTATAAAAAGTTGCTTCTAGCTGTTGGTTGCTGCCCTCACAGCCTTGCTTCTGGGGTGGTTCTTGGGAGCACTTTTTTTTTCCTGAAGCAAAACCGACTGTATTACCCCAAGGTATAACTCCTTGCAGATTTTGCAAGGAGTTGAAACTGGTTTTAAAAGAATCCTGTCTCTCTGCAGAGCATCTCTCTCTTTGCTTATGCCAAGCGTGTGTAGAACTGCACTCTTAAACCACCTCAATTAAGTGGCCTGAAAGAAAAAGAACAAAACAAAAAGAGCCAACGAGGCTTTGGATTTTTTGCCTAAAGCAGATGTAAGAGCACTTGAAAGAGATGCTCTCGCAACTGTTGACTGGAAGCAGTGGCTTTCAGAGGGCCGTCCGAGAGCAGAAACCTCTTCCACTCAGAGCCTGGGTCTAGAATGCTGTCTCCCTTTGGCCTAAGAGGCCACATGGCACAGTAGCAGCTTCGACACAGCATCAGCGTTGCTGCCTTGATAAGACTGGGCCATGTTTATTTTTCAGTCTGTTTGATTCTTGCAATCCAAGTTACCAGGCTTGTGCTTTTTGATGTTATTCTGTAAAAATAAAATAAGCTAAAGAAGATATAAGCATACACACAAGCAAATGCCTGTTTAGTTTTGCACAAGGGAGTCCCAGCAACTAATTAATCTAGCTTCTGGGGAAGATCATTTGAATACGAAATTCGCTCATAAAACATTTTAAAGAATCAGACTTTATTTTGTCCTTTTGACAGTGGTATGCATAGTCAGCCTTGGAGCGCCCCCTGTAGTACCCTCAAACTAAACAGGGCGTTTGTTTTAGATTAAATAAATGTTTCTGCATTGTTTTCTAGCAGAAATTGTCAGGTTGTTTGTTAAATTCACATCAGAGGTAAGGTGTCACCTTCTCCTGCGAGTCTCTGCAGTGTTGCAAGTTTTTGACAAACAAACATTAACAAATAGAAATGCTGGTTATGCTGTAGAAATGTATGTTTTTATTTTTTAGCCAATGCATAAGGTATGCTAAGAATTTCCTGTAGTTTTAATAAAACTCTACACTGAGACTTAACTGTCATAAGCACAAAATTGAGACACTTCTGCTTTTGTTTTCCTAGAGCTACATGGACTATTTCAGTAGAGCATTACATTATGAGTATGCCTCAAAAGGAATCTTCTTTCAGAGTTTAACTCCATTCATAGTTACTACAAAAATGGTAGCGTGCAGTAGCATTGTATCAAAAAGATCCTTCTTTTTTCCTTCTGCTGAAGAATATGCAAGTCAAGCTATTTCTACTCTTGGGTTGTCCAAGAGGACTACTGGTTACTGGAAGCATGCGTTACAGGTAAGAGAAGTCATTAAACTCCTATGTTAGTCAGTAGAAGTAAGCAAGCTATTTACTTTCTTAGGAGTCAAAACCGAAACTATGCAAGTATGCTGAAAAGGTACAGTACATGGCAAAGGACTTAAAGGCATTGCCCCATGTTTTCACACTAATTCTGCTTTAGTAAATTATGCTTGGACATGCTGGTTTTAGGATGAGATAGAGAATCTGATTTTTACTTGAAACGCACAGCAAAAGTCAGAAAGAACTTTTTATTCAAAAGCACATAGGAGCTCATTTTATTTGGTAATGTTGCTGATGGGGCCCACATTTCACTGTGTATTTTTTTGAATGGAAGCTGCTTTTTGTGGAATCTTAGTTATTTTATATACATTGGTGACACCTACCTATTAGCTGTTTATAGAATTAGGTAGAGTAGAAGGAACTAAAAACGTGGGGATTAGTCTAAACGAAGACAAGAAGCAGGAAGGATCTTGGTTAAGATGTGGGAATTAAAGGAAGTAACATCGTTTTTGCATACCCTACGTCTCTGTGTACCCTACTTCTAAAATGGCTAAATATATTGAGTTTCAGGGGTTTGAATTTATGGTTAAGTTGCTGATGTTCAAACAAGCATGGCTGTGCTTTAGTGGTAATTTGAGAAATTGCTTGTTTGTTATAATCAAATAGGTACTGATCTCACCCCTCCCTTTCCACTTTCTCTCTTCCCTTGTCTCCTTGCCTCCCTCCACAGGTCACATTGGGTGAACACATACCTGAGTGGATCTGGGCGTGGGCTGCACAGTTTATCGGCAGAAGTATACGCAAGGAAGCTTTAACAAGCAAACTGAAATTAGAATATCCAGATGTCCAGCATAAATGAGTACAATATTCTGATCTTAGTGCTGCAAGAATGTTCGGAATACCCTGAATTCACTGTAATTTATCCATAATCTGCTAAACAAACTGCGTGTAACCTGGGCATCAGAAGCCTGCCTTCTGTCTGTATCCTTGTGTTTAATAGCTCCTTCTCTGTTTTCCTCTAGGACAAAGAGATTATCTTGTTGAGGTTAACCTTGGTTTGCTTTGTCCTTAAGCAAGGAATTGGGAAAGAGCAGGTAGAGTTTTAATTCTGATAGTTGAATGACCGTCTCTTGCATAGTGCTAAATGATTTCCACTTAAGTCAACAGGATTTGAGAATTCCCCAAATCTTGCAAAAACGGGCCCAAAAGAGATCCAAAATCATGCTGCTTAAAAAGACAATCCCGGTCAACTAATGAGTTTCTTTAACATGCAGTTTTGTGTAACATTTCTGGTCTTTTAACTGCAAGCGTCTGTATGCCTTAAGTGTAAAATTATTTTGCTTTTGAATGGTGTTACTTAAGGTACTTCTCAAAATTAAGGTATATGGAAAGTAATATTGTTTTGAAAGTTGTTTAAATGACTGCAAAGGTCTTACAGAGCTGTAAAGCAATTTGGAGACGTGCTTGTTTGCGTTCCTGTTCCAAGTGTGGACACTCTTGATCATGCTTCAATCTGAAGTATGTCTGAAGAATTGAATGTAGAAACAGATTAGCTGAAGAAAAATAACAAATAATTTAATCTTTTGGTACAAATACGCTGATTGTCTGTCTTAAGAGAATAAAAAAGTAAAGTTTTGATGCTTGATGATTTTGATTCTTTTATATAGAGATAAATATTGTAAATATTTACATATTATAATAAATATGTATATTTTCTCTTACATCTCTATCTATTCATATAGGTATGTTTATGTGTCTATATCTGACCTCTAGTGGAGATCAGCTGATATACACTTACTATTTTTTGCAGACTAAATCTCTGAGAGTCAAATACGCTCTTTTCTGTGTATTTGTAATTGCTATCTGAAAGAAGGGTATGACTTGAATAGTTTTCATCCATTTGTATTTTATCAGGGAATCATTAGTACATAATGTAAGCATGATTACAAAGTGGATATCTGTAGCTCTTCTGCAAGCGCCCTGGCCTGGTAATGTTTAAATCTGCAATTCTAACAGGAATGCTCCACACAAAGCTTTTACATGAATAGGTTTTTAGAGGTACTGCTTGAAATCTGGATTGGAGCTATTAAAAATGTAGATGCTTCATAAAATGAAACTGTCCCTAGCCTTCATGATGAACGGTGCCCTGCTGAGTAACCTAGTGTAGTTGCTGGGCCAGGCATCAGTAAGAAGCTGGTACTGGAGTTACTGTCCAAAGTGAAGTTCAGTCTGTGGTTTTTGTAACGGAAGAGCTCCCTCCCTTGCTGCTTGTTGCTGTTGTGTTGCCCCAGCTGCATGTTCTCCCTGCTGGTGGGAGTGAGAAGATGAGGGACTCGCTAAGTGGTGTTATCAGCTGATGGTCCCCTAGTAGCTGACTGCAGTCTTGACTGGCTCCGAAAGCTGTTTGTTACCATTGTACAGGAGCAAAGTATGGATTAGGTGTTGCTAGCAAAGTTATGTTTGCTAGCAAATGTGATTTAAAGGAGGCTGGATAAACAAATGCATTTTGTTTTTAGCCAAGGCTTTAAAACACTGTCATGAAGCCTTTTAAGAACTTATTGTATTGCTTTCTTTCAGGCCTCTTTGGCTTTCAGTTTGTCATTTACTGCTAATAATTCATATCTTAGGAGTTTGGGGCAGAAGATCTCTCCCCCCCCCCCCATTCAGGCACAGCTGAGTGCTCTGTTTCTTAAACAATATAGAACAGTCATTTTTTTAGGTGGTGATTCTTTATAGGGAAAAGAACAAATGATCTATGTGCATGTAACTGCTTTTGCAAACATCGATCCGGTTGTATGTTTGAAAGTATTTGTAAGTCAGACTGGTAATAATACTAAGTAATATTCCTACAGCAATTCGTTATCATAATTTAAGCACTTAATACTTGGAGATGGGGAGGGTGAATCGGGCAGTAGCTGAAAGTTTTCCCCTTTTGGTCAACATGATAACTCCCCCTTCGAGGGGTACCGAATACCCAGCGGGGGGCAAGCGCTCGCCTCCCAGCTGCTGCTCTACCTTCCGTGAGCTTCTCGGTTTCGGGGGGGGAGAGAGAAAACAACAAAAAGCCAAAAAGCTCCCGGCAGCGGAGCACGTTGCGGGGCGGGAGGACTGCGCATGCGCCCGTGGGGGGCGCCTGCTCCGTGCCGTGGTGCGCATGCGCCCGACGAGCACGTTCCTCGCGGGCTCTCGCGAGACGGCTGTGGTAAACATTGCACAAAATGGCGGC